ATTTTTTCATCTTGTCACTACCGTCGGGCGATCCGCTAATTCTGCTTCCGCGTATTCCGCTCCATGAGACGTCACCCTCAGAGATGCGAGCACAGCGTGGCGCGAAAGTCTCACGATAAATAACGAACGTGTATTCCGTTGAAATAGTTCTGTGATTGGTAATACACAGGTTACGGTTACGCTCCATGTGGATCCAGTCTCACTGATGCGATCAGCTGGACACGATTATCGCCGGCTTGCTGCCATGTTGCCACCGACAATCTGACAGATATTTGGCAGTGACATCTCTCGAGAAAGCCTGCAGCTCTTTCTACACGCCATGTTGTCTTTTTCTCGTTTTCTAGCATTGGATTTTCAGACTTGCAATGATTAGAACTAATCTTTTTTTCTAGGCTATTAATCTTAGTTCTAATTGCACGATATTGTTCTTATATGTTATCCCTAGACTATCCTGGTCTCATTTTGTATATATTTATTGTAGAATTTTTGTATCAAGCAAATATTGTCGTCAAGTATGCCAAAAATTAGTAAAATTTGTATTTTTGGGGGTTTTTTTATATAAAGTCGACCAGCATAGTGTAGATTTTGCTGCGTACTTTAATTCCGTATAAGAATTTTGCATTTCTATAAAGCCAATTAAAAGATTAGTTCTAAACAATAATGTCGATAAAACAGACGGCTTTAGCATCCTCTTAAATAATGCTAATGCCGGCGGTACTGTAAACTTCAAGCCTAATAATTCGGAAAGTACTATAATAATAAAACAATATTTCATTATAGTGTGTGAAAACGTCCCGAGAAGATACGACTTTCGTCTAATTGTAAGAGAAAATCAAGTTCCATATGAGAAGTTAGTCACCTTTAAAATATCTTCAAAATGACATCTACAACATTAATTACATCGCAATTATATGTCCCCAAAACAAACAACTTTTGTCTAAAGCCTTTTTTCTACAACAAACAAGCGAACGACCAATCCGAAAGTCGCGCCGCGATCGTCTGATGATCGGATTAGTCATCCGCTTGTTTGTGTGTGTGCGTCTCATACAAATAGGGACGGCATTTATGCGTGTACATGATAATATTCATAATATTTCATAATAATTTTGCATACGTGTTTGCAGAAACTGCCATGGGTACTTCTTTACAAAGCCTAGGTGCGTTTCAGCAGCAATATCGAGAAGCGGTACATAAGATGGGTGAACTTTTTATTTATAGGTACTTTATAGATATAACAAGTAACTGTAAATCTCTCTTAAGATACAAATTAATTTTATATGTATAATAATTTTATAACGAAATTAATTGCATAATTAATTAAATATGTTAAAATCATCGCATATTAATTACAATATTATGTAATTACAATATTATATATCCAGAATAAATAATTATACTACATCAAAAACATGTTTATCATAATTAGAAATGTTAATTCTTACATGTAATTTGCAAAATTGTTCCTTTAAAAATGATTGTTTAATTTTTAAAGAAAAGTGTCCTTAAAAATGATTGCTTAAAGCTTTTCAGTTGTAAAGTATTATGAAAAACAAGGTGCAATTAAAAGTAAATATGCATCACCTTTAATATAATTCTAAATAGGTACAGAAAGTATAATGTTTATTGTATAATATAAATTTGTAGAAAAATAAAAGGAAGATTTAAAAATAGAACTATAATCTTTCCAAAGTATAATAGTATATATGTTATTTATTATTTATGGTTCAGATTACTGAGACAGTGGTTGCACAACAAATGGATATTCTTGTTAACGCAAAAAGGTAGAGAACAGAGGAGGATTCTGAAAACATTACATGGATTTACTGAACGAGTATGTGAAACTGCTTCTTAATGATATATTAAAACATTGTTTACTTCAAAAAGTTGCAATAAAAAGTCAATGAATATTGTATTAAAAAATTATCAGTTAATTTATGAATGTTGACAACATCTTGTTAATGCTTTCACATAAATTATAGAAAAAACACTAATATTGTATTTATACAGATTATTGCTGAAAGGAAACTTTATCATGATTGCACTAATGGTCAATACTTGAAAAACTTAGATAACAACACATCAACAAAGAGTGCTGACACAGAACGGATAGGAAGTATGTAATGTATACATATTGTATATGTATTTTTATATTAAAATCATGTAGATTAAAATATAAATATATACATATAGTTTAAATTCAATGTAGATAATATTGTGTCATAAAAACGTCATAAAAGGACTGGACTATTAAATTGACATGTTTACATATTTCGATTTAGTACGAAAGAAGCGGCTTGCAATGTTGGATCTTCTAATAGCGGCATCCTGCGAAGGTCTTCTAACGGAGTTAGACATCAGAGAGGAAGTCGATACGTTTATGTTTGAGGTATATTTATAATTTCGCTTGGAAGTTTTTTAAAATATTATGTGGTATATGGGACACATTATGTAATATTACATATTGATATACATATATAATTATAGGGTCATGATACTACAGCGATGGCTCTGTGTTATATTTTGATGCTATTAGCTGAGCACAAATACGCACAGGTATCTATTATCAAATGTCAGTCGTAATCCTTAGACAAAAAATTAAATAATTCCAATATTACTTATTAAAGATGTATCAATATGAGATTCGATAGGTATGTACAAGAGCATCGCACGGGACTAGACTATAGCACAAAATTGTATCCAGATTGTATCCAGAAAAGGCGCATACGAACTGGCATACATTATTTACCGTAAAGGAAGTGGTCTATGAAAAAGAATTGTTTTAATAAAAGTAATTAATGTATAATAATTACTTGCTCCAACATATAAATGTATTTACGAGTTATTCGTCAACACTGCGAATTTCTCAATGTCACACCGACTTTGCACTAACGCACGTACAAAAATCCTGTGATTGGTGATTATAAAAATGTCGGAAGCGCAGTACGGATCAGCGTGAACGTGAAACAAAAGAGCGAGTGACCCTACTGGTTATACTGTAATCAGAGTGTGTGTACCGTTTGCATGAGTGGCTAGTGCAAAACATGAAGTGTAGAGCTCGTTCCGTTTCTCAAACCTACTTTATGCTTGGATCATGCACCTCTAGTAACGGAACAGTTATCATGGAGTTTGTGTTGTTAATTGTTAATATCGTAGAACTTATACACATGGAAGGGGAAAAGGAGCCGCAACTTGTGTCCAAGAAATGAGACAAAGAAACTATTTTCTATCTCGTTTATCTGTCTTTCTATCATTCTATCTCATTCTATGACTTTTCCTCGAACTACACATGAGTGGCCAAAGCAAGATTGTATTTGTAGATTGCGTACGTATATTGTGCACGTATATTGTGCATTTACGTGTGCGTACGATTTAACGCATGTGCATAACGGACCAAATTCATCTTCTATCTATCTTTGTCACACAGATGTTGGACACATTTTCAGCTCACGGAAAGTATACGGTATTCCCCTTCCATGTCTATAAGTTCTATGGTTAATATGGACGATTTAAGGTTACCCAAATCGCACTTAATTGCGGTAATATCTGTTTTTTCTGTCATAATAAAAGACAAAGACTCGTGTTTTCCAAGTAGCAGTAGTGATGAAAGTAACTGTTCAAGTGATGAAGAGAAAACTGAAATGTCAACTTTCCCATACAGCACAGAGAGATTGCAGGAACATTGCAGAATGATATCATTGAAACATTGCAATATTGCATATTGATTGCGAAATGTTGCTGCAACACTGCTGCAAGATTGCAGCAATATTAAGATATCCGGTTTTTGAAATATTACAACGATACATTACAGCAACATTGCAATGTATAAGTATAAGTATTTATTTCCCTTGCGGGGTACATGCGGACCTCCGTTCCGCTTACAAAAAAAACTTCTTGTTTTACGCTCGCACGCGAGAGAGAGATACTCATCCTCATTCATACCTCTGTCCATCCATCCATACCTCTGGACCTCCGTTTCCGCTGCATTCTCCCTTCTCACCTTCTCTCCCATTCTCTTCCTCATCCCCTCTCATCCTTTCCCCCCTCCATTCCTCTATTCTTTTCATCCATTCCTCTCCTCCTCCTTTCTCCCCTAATACTTCCTCTACCATTTTCTTCCAACATCTCTCCCTCCCCCAATCTGTGCATTTCTCCCAAATATGCTCCCACGTCTCCTCCCTCCATCCACATACCCTACATTTCCTTTTCTCTTCCTCTTCCCAATATTTACTACCTCTCATTTCTTCTCCTTGTCTAAATTTCGCTACTCTCTGTCATCTCTTTTCATTCCATCCCTTTTTCAAATACTCCGGTATCCCTTTTCCTTTTATCCACTTATACCATACATTCTTGATACAGTCTTTGACTTCTCTATCTTTCTCCATCTTTCTTCCTCCTGCCAGCCTTTTTCTCTTCTTACCATCTCCTCTCCCCTCAATTCTCCAATATCTCTCATCCTCTCTACCTTCCCTCTATTTTCCACCCCTTCTCTTCATAAAACTTTCCCTTCTTTCCTTTTCCCATTCCCCTGCCACTTCCCCCCTTCTTGCTTTCTCTCTGCACTCCTCCCAGCACCTTCTCGCTATTTCCCCTCCTCTTCCCTCTCCCAACTTCCGCTCTTATCCCCAAACCCTCATCCCCGCCCTCCCCCTCATTTTTCTCTCATTAGTTCCTTCCTTACCATATAGCCTGGTGTCCTCCAACCTACTCCTGTTATCTATCTGAGACATCTATCCTGCATCCTCTCCACCTGCTCTCTCTCCCTCCATCCCCATATTTCCACCCCATAACTCATTACCGTCCACACCAATCTATCAAACAACCATAACCTTCTCGACCACTCATTTCCAAACCTTCTTTTCCCTATCCCAACATTGCAATGTAATATATTTAAAATAATGAAACACGACTCATACGTTACAATATTTTAGTGATATTTTAACATTTCAGCAATATTTGCTGAAACATTGCTTCAACATTGTTGGAATGTTCTATATGGGAATATATTCAGGTTTAAATAAGTAAATTAATTATAATTACAAGCTTTCATTTTTGAAATTTACAGAAAATTATATATTTTTCAGTCGTTTCGATGTCACATATTTATATTTGCTTATAATTACATACTAATATTTATAATCACATACTTTGTAAGTTGTAATTGTTGCAATGTTGCTGCAATATTCTGTGCTGTATGGGTTGTATGTTATTCTTATAAATTAAATTTTGAAGTATCTGCCCATGTGGCACATATAGGTTTTTTAAACGTATATATGTATATGACACGTTATAATGTGTACATCACTTTATTCATTTTTTAATGGTAATTTCCTTATAGTAAATTGCTGTACTTTATTAATGAAGAGGATGCTGAGGAAGTTTTATAAATATAACTATCCTGATGAATAATACTGGAAAGTATACCATAAAGCATATTTTCCAATATTATTCAGCAAAAGAATGTTATGTATAAAGCTTCTAGAACATTTCTCACACAACACGCCCCATATGTAGCACATGTTGGTTTTTATAAGTTTCCTAAACATTTATTAAACATTAAATACGTTTAGGAATCATATATGAAACGTGCTACCTGGGGTATGTCTCAAAAGCGTTATAAACATGACGAAAAGACGTTTGCAACAGAAATTCTAAAGAAGTAGGAATTACAAAATTTTCCCTTTAGCTTTAAAAAAAAAAATTCTATAATGGTTTCTTAAACGTTATTTTATCGGAAAAGAAACGTTTCATCGAACGTTTTTTCGAATGGACATTTTAACTCATGAGAAACGTTTCTAAAAATCGGTTATAAAACGTTTCGGATAAACACTTCTAAAACGTTTTTGAAACATATGTAAATGTGCTACTTGGGTACATAAACCCATGTTAATAGTATGAGATACCATTTTGATTAACAATGTTGATACAGGATCGTGTGAGGGACGAAGTGGATACTGCTTTACAAGGACACGAGGAGAAATTTACTATGAAATTATTACAAGATTTACCATATTTAGAGAGATGCATAAAAGAAGGGTTGCGTTTATATCCCAGCGTAAACCATATATCTCGAATTGCTGGTGAAGACGTAAAATTACGTATGCATCTAACCATTTTTTCTATACATTTTAAAATATAGTAAATAATACACATTATACACACATCACGCAAATGAGTTAAATAGAGGAAAGTCCCCTATTATGAGATAGGTTCCTAATATAAGATAGCGGGGTTTCTGCTAACATAATAGGCATTATTTGTTGATCCCACCGTGAATTTATTATCCTTAAAGTGAAATTTGTGTAGTGGAAAATTCATTGTTAGATCATGTAATCAATGCGAAAAAAGATTTGTGATTAAATATGTATGTTAAAAATCTGCTAGCTCATATTAGAAGCCTATCGCATAACAGGGGACTTTCCTCTATACATATATAAAATGCAATGTTTCTATTATTAATATCTAAAATTTTTACATTTCTCTACATTATTATTGATAAATTTATTTGTACAATATGCAAAGCAATGTACATATAATACAACAATACGAGTACAGTAATTATGCAACATCTATGGAAAATAATATTAAGCAACTTAGTCTTAATATTATAAAAATTTAAATAATTATTAAATTATATTTTCTTATCATGCGTACCATAAGCATTTACTTCTATGTCGTATTACATGGATACCCAA